GGTGTTCTGCTGTGTGTTTAATTCTCTGAGCTCATTCTCTTTCCATGTGACTCGATATATAAACTTATGCTGGGGGTTTAGCATTGCTCATGTACAAGAAGACATTCATGCATTGCAATAAGAACCACTGTTGGACAAAACGGGATGTGCTTATGGAAGTAGCCCTAAAACCAAGAGCAAATCTATCCTGTGTACTCTTTGGCACTCAGACCTATCCTGAAAGTGATACTTCATGGGGAACCTCAAGCTTCTTTTAACCATCCAATGTGCCTAAGCAAAAGGTTGAATGTTAACAACTAGAAAACCCTAAGATTCCATACGCAAGTGCAACCCAAAGGGAGAAGGTACTGATTTTTATTACAATAACCCCTCACTGGGGGAAGGCAATGCTCATTATGAATAGTAACTCCATTCTGCTGATCCATAATCCAGTGAGGTAAATCTGTATCCACTACAGCTCATATGAAATTGGCATCCAGGCCTTAGAATGACTGAAGTTGCCCTAGAGTGTAGGGAGTTTTTCTAGTGGGTATTTTGCGGCAAAACTGTTAGAATAGGTCCTCTTCTCCCACAATGTCAGAGCCCTCCATCAAGTCACGTGGCATGGCTCTGTCTTCCTGTGCTGACAGCAAGGCAGGAAAGAACAGGCCAGAAACAACTCAGAAATGTGGTTCACCTTGGAACTACCTGATGAGTGAGGACTCTGACCCAGAGGCCTGGAATAGGTTCAAAATAAAGTCTTTCACTGAAAGATGGGAGTTGCCCAAATGTTCCTGGTAAATATTTAAGCTATCACCCTTTCAAGTGATTGCTCAACAACAAAGTACCTAATACTTGCCGGGAAATGGCATATTTTTAACGACTCTTTTCTGATAAAATAATAATGATAGCTAGCACGCATGTTCTCAGTTTGTCTGACACACAGGGGTATGAAGATCGCTACACACCGGCAGTGGGTCTGTTAACATGTCCTAATTACAGGATGCTGATGGACCAGGGCCAGACATTTGTCATCTCATCCCTGGGTACCCCGGCCTGTTTGTCCTTGCTTTGCTGGAGTTATGTGTGTGCCGAGTTACAGACTTCTGCTTTCTGCTGAAGTCCTAGCAGTGCCGGTCTCTACAGAGAACACAATGTGGGTTTCTCAGTAACCAATGAAGGCTGAAATAGTTAAAAGGGGGGAAAAAAACATACAAACAAAAAAACAAGTCCAGTTCTGAAAGTCTTCATGACTATGTTTTCCTTGTGGTGTTTTGTATAGGTTTCTATCTGTCCTCTTTCCAGTCACGGATATATACAATGGTTGACTTCAGTTATTATTTTAGCTTGTTGTTGATTGTTTTCTAAGAGGAATAGGTTAAAGGGTGACCCAAATGGGTTGTAGCAGAGTCACAGATATGTTTAGAATATGATCTCTAAGTGTTCCCCTACCCCTTATATTGACGGAGTGCCACAGAAATTTTCATGTGGAGTCGGGGAGAGGAGAGTATTAGACACAGGAGCTAATAGGGAGGGAAATGGAAGAGTTGACGTGACATCTGCCTCCTGCTTCCTTCACTGAACTGAGAGATTGGCTAGGTGCTTACATGTTAGGAAATGATAAAGCTGGAAGCCGGGAGAGGATATCTGTTTTTGATAAAAGGATAAAAGACCCTGGGATCTGGGCAGCAGTTCTCAGCCTGCCTTGGGAATGAGCTGACTTCAGGAAGGAAAACACTCAGAGAAGCACAGAGAAGCACAGAGTAATAGGCATCTGACCTCAGGGCCAGGATTACCAAACAGGAAAGTGACTTCCATCCCCCACCCTATGTGAGTGTATGTACATAGTCAATGGTTACTTCTAGGGCTCTACCTTCAAAATGAGAGAGCAGCAGATTCTGGTAAAGGGGGTTCAACACACCATACTCTTGAGACTCCTTTATCTGAAAATTGGTCTATTCTTAAGAACAGATATTTAAAGAGAAAATAAAGTAAGGAGTGAGACCAGGTCACTAAGGTCTGCCCATCTGAGTGATGGTCAGGGAAGATGAGCTAGCAAAGGAGGGGGAGAATGCAGTTCTTGATCCCCAAAGCTGAGGGAAGCAAATTTTGATATATGAAACGAGGAGTGTGGACCTCCAATCACTGATGTTACATTTGTTAGGCATCAGGGATGGTGGTGCGCAGGTGCATCTAAAACCTGAGCTTGACGCTGACCCCAGCCAGGTGTTCTGCACAGATATGTGTCTCTACCATTCCACATGGGGAAAAGGGTTATATTGTTCTGTGGAAGTATAATTTAGCAATACAGACTTCCCAAGGGGATTTGAATAAATGGGATTTTAAAAAGGAAAGAGAAAGAAAATCTCTTTACTAGTAGAAAACCATGAGGTTCCCTTCAGGGTGGAAACTCTTAGAGCTGGAGATTAAAGCCAGTTCATTGCCTCCCTGCCAGGGTCCTGTACTAGAGGGAGGAGACTGGTTAGGGGTCGTCACAACCCCATGCTGGATGGACATAACAGAGAGTCCTAATTAAAATATTGACCACAGGACTCACAGTGTGGTGGGAGAGCCTAACACACCAAGTGCAAACCCCAGGGACTCATCCCTAGCTGAGACTGGACAGGTGGCATAATCACAGTATGCAGCTTTTCTTCAACTCTGTGATGCAGCCATTGAGAACTAAACTCATTTGCGTGTATAGATGGCCAGTATGTTATAAAGTTCCCATTTTCGTCTCTGGTGGCTAGTGTGTGTTATACCAATAAAGATGTTGTTTTTGCTTCTCCAGTTTACTTCATCCTAACCCTCCCTTTCTCTAAGATATGCACAAAGCACAAGCTTCACCTCAAAATGTCAGATACGTGGTAGATGCCAGGAGCCGGGAAGAGTTAAAGGCACTGTAAAAACGAAAACCATGCTATTCGTAGAGTGTATACATTATATAGTCTATATCATCAATTTTTAGGTTGTTGTTATGTCTTACTGTTCTCATCATATCACTGTATAGTACAGCCTATTGATAAAGTCATGTAGCAATTTGGAATATCCTCCCATTCAAACCAATCAGTCAAGATATCCTTTTCCCCTCCACCCCTCAAGACAGTCAATCTTCCAGGGAAGAGGTGATTTTGTGGTATTTAGTCATGACAACTTACCAAATTGAAGACTCACAGTCTAATCAGCTAACATCTCATTAACATGAAACAGCATCCTATGCTAACTTATTTCACATCCTTACATCCACAGACATCCTGAGAGTGTCCACAGAGACCATCCAAGAGTCCCCTGTGCACTCAGACGTAGCTGACAGATCTGGACTGAGTCCAGAGGCCAACCACCTGCCATTAGCTAAGGCTCATGGGAAGTGTCCCTCTGACACGCATTCATTCACGGGTGTAGCTGCAAGCATGTCACCGGTAAGAATCATCGTATGGCTTGACAATTGTATGTGGCTTACATGTCAGTCAGGCACCTGGTCTCCACAGTAAGCTCACAAATGGATGAAACTAGTTTCATTGGCTCTCAAGCTCTGTATGCGAAAAGGAGAAGCATCGAGGAAAGGTGATTAGATCCCTTTCTTGTCAAGATGGTCCCAAGATTGCTAGCCCCATAATCTGTCACCCCCACCACAACCAGATGCCTAGTTTACCTTTGCATATGCCAATGGCTGAGATTTGCTCTTTTGTAACTAATAATTAATCTATGAATGTCTCTTAAGAATTGTGTCAGCCAGGTAGGGTAGTGCACGCCTTTAATCCCAGCCCTCCAGAGGCAGAAGCAGGCAGATCTCGGAGCGTTGGAGGCCAGCCTGGTCTCCAGAGTGCGTCCTAGGGCTACACAGAGAAACCCTGTTTTGAAAATTAAAAAGAGTTATGTCAGAGAGCCATGCATAAGGTGCATGCCTGCAACCCAGCCCTTGGAAAATGGGTGCAGAATGATCAGGAGATCAAAGTCATCCTCAGCTGTGTAGTGAGAGGGTTTAAGGCAAATCTGTCTCAAGCAAAACAAAACAAAAGTGTTGGGAACAACTGGGTATAGGCTCATACCTGTAATTCCAGCACTTGGGTGGGGGCAAAAGAACTTCAAGGAGTTCCAGGCTAGCCTGGGCTGTCCTGTCCAACCCCACCCCAAATAAACAAAACAAAACAAAAGATAAGAATGGTGTCATGAGACTCTGTAAACTCGTGATACATTACCCACAAAACTCCATTAGATTCTCTCTTTCTCTCTCTCTCCTCAAATTGTGTATTCTCAGTTCCAACCCTTGCCACACATTAGAAGGATCTAAGAAGCTCCAGCAGTTAAATTTGAGTATGATAGGGAGTAGCAGACATCCACATTTGCAACATCTCAGGTCATTCTCTTGTGCAACCGGTGTTCTCAGAGACGTTGCATCGTCCACATTCTTCAGTTCTTCCAGAACCTCCCACTCTCCACAACCCTGGAGAATGTGGACACGTAGAGCAAGCAGTCTTTTTTTACAGCAGAGGAAAATGCTATTTTTTTTAGTGTGTCCTTCCATTTGTAAGCAGGCCAAATCCTTTTAGGGGTTATTGCTAAAGCCTTGTGGAGCTTACATCATATTTTTTTTTTTTCAGAAGAATCCACTACGCGTACAAGAAAGAGATGGGTAAAGTTTACCAAAGAAGCGTACATTTCTACACTTTACCTTGCTTATGTGGTAGTAAACCACACATCTGATTTTCAGAGGGAGGAGAGGTTAGAATGTCCTCTTCTGAGCATTGCCATTTCTGTAGTTATTTTGAGCTTAGGCTTCTTATGACAATAATCCAAAGGCCTCTCCCATAAATGATGCCTCTCTCTTCATCTCTCCTTTCAGAGTCTCCCAAGGAAAGAACTTCTAGGACTCTGCTTGTTTGATTGCTTTTGTTTTAACACAACGCTACTCCTAATTTTTAACCACTTCAGCATTTTTTTTTGCTCTATTGCACAATGATACCTGGTCAATAAGGGAAAATAGCAGTCCAAAATTACAATAAATGACTCTCCACTGGCTGGACTTTCACCTAGGCAGCCCACACCAGACACATACAAACAAAACCCTGAACATATACCAGCAGTAAATTGTCCCCTGCCCTCTGGTTGCAAAGAAATGCTTCCCAAGACCCCAGGGCTGCCTAGTAGGAGCAGCATGTCTGCAGGCAGGACCATCGCCTTAGTGATTGCCATCTTCATCTTGGAAATCAATGCACGGATCCCAGGACCCACTCCCAGGTGAGTCTGTAACTTGACTGTTTATCTCTGGAATTCTACTGTGGAATCTGCTGTCTCAGGGTCCAGCTCTTAACAGCAAAGTAGGAAAAAAAATAAAGGTTAAATAGTGATATATAAAATGCCCAGGATTTAAACTTTCCAGACAAGTGAGAAAAGTCAGGGTGTGTCTGCCGGTTTGCTACGGAAGCCTGCTAGTGCCTCTGGGACTTTGTTCTAGAGAGGGAGCTCAAAAGTTAAGACTAAGATAGTCTGTTTAAATATTTAGAATTAGGAAAAAAACTGGTTGTCGCCAGTTTGTGAAGATCAGTGTTGATCAGTGTCTACTGTTTGAGAAGTTTACAATGAAGGAAGTTAATCTTTCCATCCCTTATCTCAAACCCTAATACTTGTTAACTGTTGACCGAGCCGGTTGTGGTGGCGTGGTCCGGTAGGATTTGCTGAAGCAGGCAGAAGCAGGAGGATCACGAGTTAGTTTGGGGCCAGGCTGGGCCACACATGTAACTGTTGGCTGTAGGGCTTTTGGGGCCCCCACATGAAATAAGGGTTAATCATTTGTCTCCTGTGACATCCCATATTGTGCCCCATGTTTTGTGTCCTGGGGTCTTAGGGTCTACTTGCTCTACCCAAGATGGCCATGGTTCTCCAGATCCAATGGCCATGCCTCCAGCACTGTCTCTTTAGTTCCTTTTTACCTGATCCTACTTGGGGTTGCAAAACCCATAAGCTACAGTTTGCATACGGTGTGAGGGTGTCCTCAAAACGGCATTGCTGGAAGTTCAGTCCCCTGTGTGGCAGCAGAAAGAGGTGGTGGAGCCCCTAGGGAGTACACACTAGTTAGGTCTCAGGATTCCACAGCCATGAGTGGACTATCTCTGAGGAATGGGGGGCCAAGCCTAACAGAAGTGGCCCCTAACAGGTCTGTCTGGCCAGGCCCTTCCTCAAACCCTTGTTTTCTTACTAACACATGTCCCCCTTCTGAACACAGGGCCTTCCCTTTCTGCTTTTAATGCCCATGTTATGACACAACCATGGGAATCCTCTCCAGATGCCTGGCCATGCTGTTTGCAAGTCGTAGTCATCAGAGTGTGAGCAGGGTTCTCTCCCTTTAGACATTACCCACATCAGGTATTCTGTGGGAGCAACACAAACAGAGCGTGACACCACGCCAAATACACCCAGCAAACTGAATCAACAGGACAATAAAAGCTTCCTGAACATCACTGCACTCAGCACTGCCAGAGATTATGACTCCATGAGGCTCCCTTCCTTCCATCTGGATGTCACAGGACAAGGCATAAACCTGTGTCATCCAATGCAGCAGGATCTTCTCTGAAGACAGAACGGAAATACCCCCAATGCCAACATCTTCCTGGACACTGTTCCACTGTTCTAGTGAACTTCGACATGTGCCCAGTTCCCCTCAGTTTAACCAAAGTCTATTTTGACTTTCCTAGTCAGCCTTCTGACTGTGTTGGTTGTGTTCAGGATTGCCTCTTCCAGGAGAGGACTCAAGGAGGAGAAACTCAGACCCACTTGAGCCCTGGGAGAAGTAGCTCAGCCCACTTTCCTCCCTCCCACCCACTTCCTCTGCTGACATTAGCTAAGCAGTATCATCCTGCTCAGAGAATGTTTTCATTTGGGGGGGTATCTTAGCTCAGAAGGAATGCGTGCACTGGGAGCTACGCTGGTTTTCTTGTACTTAACCTGACCCTCTCGTAGGTTTTTCTTTTTTAAATCAAACAACTCACATTTCTAGACTGTGGCTCAAAACTGAAAGGCTGTGGGAAGCCCACGGTTGCTTTGAAGTTCACACCCCCTGGGTCTGGTCACACTTGGTTGTTCCAGGAAGGACCAGGCAGACTCCTGGTTGGCCCCAGATCCTGGCAGTTGCCCTCCCCAGTTCTCCTGAGCATCCTGCACTCTCATCGCCATGCCTTCAGCCTGTGCCAGAATGTCCCCACTCAGAACACTCTGTGCTGTGCCCTTTGGTGGAGGATGAGGTTAAGATGAAGGGTTCAGTGACTTCCGCAGCTACGTGAGACCGTTTGCTTGAATATTGGCAGCAATATTTCAAATGATTTACTTTCTGTTTAAGCATTGTTTTATTTTACATACCAACCACAGATCCCCCTCTCATCTCTCCTGCCGCTCCCCCACCCCTTGCCTTTCCTCCCCCTGACCTACCCCTTTAAAAAAAAGAAAAGATTTATTTATTTATTTATGTATACAGTGTTCTACCTGCATGTATGCCTGAGCACCAGAAGAGGGCACCAGATCTCATTATAGATGTTTGTGAGCCATTCATGCGGTGGCTGGAACATGAACTCAGGACCTCTGGAAGAGCAGCCAGTGTTCTTAACCTTGGAGCCATCTCTCCAGGCCCTCAAGTGATTTCTAAGCATACATATTCTTCAGAAAGGAGCTAGACGCCCGCAACTCACATCAAGTCACCATTATATACCAAGCGTGCAGGTTGAACCACCTTTATAGACCAGCTGTGCAGGTTGGAATGAGTAGCTCAGTCCCTGTCCTTGGTCTATAAGACACTGATTGTGGTTGGTTCCTATGGCTGCCATAGGAAAGTCCAAAATCTAATTGGTTTAAGCAAGCTTTCTGTCTCCTCGTCTGGAGCCTGGAGGTCTGAGAAGAAGATGTTGAGAGAGCCAAGACCCCTCTGCCACTGTTCTGGGGACTTCCTAGCTTGTGGTGGTAGCCTGAAATCCTTGACATACTTTGGCTTTCTAACCCTGTCTCTGCCACTACATGGTCATCTTTCTTTTTTATTTTCCCTGACCACCTTCCCACCATACTGGAGTCCCACCCTGGGTTAACATCAGTTAGGCAAGTATTCTAATGCTGGGTAATATATATGCTCAGTCCCCAAATCAGTCTACGTCTCTCTTTCTCCCCCCTTTCTCTCCACACATGCCACCCAAGCAAAGCCTTTTCCCATGAGTTCTGGAGATCAAACTCATGTCTTCATGTTCATACAGTAAGCATTTTGCCTATGGAGCCATCCCCCAGCCTCCAGATTTCTCTTTTTATATGGACACCAGGTGTATTGGATTAGGACTTACTTCAGTGATTCCATTTTAACTCAATTACTCCTATCCAGATCCTATTTACAAATAAGTTCACATTCTTAGGTACCAACCAGATCTTAGGACGTCAGCATATCACTCACTTTTGGAGGAAACACAATTCGGTTCACACATTTACCATGACAGAATCTACCCAGTAGTGTTTTCATGTGAACGTTAGTTATCACATGTGTAAAGCAACCAGAGCTTCTGCCCCAGGCCTATGGGAAGAATTCACTAAACATCGGGTATATTTTTATAATGATTTCATGGCTCTTTTTTGCTTTGAGTTGCCTCCTTGTTCAGGAGAAGGGATTGAAGTTACAATAGCTTTTGGGAGGATGTCACAAGATTCTTGGAGCTTTGCTAATAGTATACTGCTGGGGGATTTTTAACTCTTGCATCAAGGTGAATTCCCAGGAGAATAGGTCTGGAGGGAACCATCGTCTTAGGTTTCTCTGGGTAGAATGGAAAGTTTTACGTCCAATCTGAGAGGGAAATGATAGCTCAGAGTATAGCTTCGGGAGCCAGGCTACTTGCAGAATTCAGTTTCCACAGCTGCACAGCTGTACACCCAAGGCAGATCCTGTTTCCTCCAAACTCATGTGTCTCAACAGAAACTTCACACTGCATTTGTGTAAACTTGGTTCTTGTGTCTCAGAAACTAGTGTATGACAATGGAAGTGTCTCGTATCTGTTGCTACTGGAGCTAGTCCTGACGTGCATGTCATCAGTAAAAGCCATTTTATGCTGAGCCATTGGGAATGAATAAAATCAGTCTTGCAAACTCGGGGACATGCCTTAAAATGTTGACAATGGGCACTTCAGTTATGTTTCCACTTTATCTTTGTGAACTATGTGAATTTAGCATACAGTCCTGATGAGCTGAACTTTCCCCACGGCTAACGACTCCTCGTACTGCGATATCTTCCCGCTTGTGCCAAGCACACTGCCTTGAGTGTGAGCAGCTACAGTGGTTTTTCTTTTTCTGGAAACTTCTCTTCCTAGTGGGAAGGGGGGGGTCCTTCCTTTAATGTATTTCTGGCCCAGAGCTAGATCCCCTGTGGTGCTGATGTCCATTGCTTTGATCTGGGGAGTGCCTTCCCAGCAGAGATGGAAACTCTTGATAGGCTGCATGCACTTGATAAGCACATTTCGTGTGAGAACCCAGAAAGTGCTTAGCAAACACTTCTCTGCTCAGCCTAATAGCTCAGCAGGATGATAGGCAGGTGGTGAGTGCTGTGCACACTCGGTCCGGTCCGCAAGCTACACAAGGTTATCTGCTGAGTGAGTCAAAGGGGCTGGCAAGGCAGTGCTGGGCTCAGAGCAGGGGTGGGAGAAAATGGGCAGAGTTATTTGAGGCCACTGATCTCCCATCCTAATATTTATGCAGCATGCTTATTCACCAACGTTCTGTTTGCATAACCTTTTAGTCTCCCCCGCTAATTCCCGAGAGCCCTGCTTTTCCAGAGCGTTGGGAGAGCCAGACACCTGACATGGTGAGGACAAAACAGCCAGGGACTGACACAGCTTCCCATTTCTTTATGCCCCGTTGGGCATCATTTCATTGTAAGATTGCTGTCGATCTAGGTAAAGCACTAGGTTGTCCGATGATTGATGTACTTTATTCGGATGGCTATATAAAAATAAATTGTGTGCTTTCTTACTAACTCACTCTGTCTCAAAATGTCCGAAAAATCTCGAGGCTATTCCATCCAGGCATTATTGAACAAGCCGTGACTGCTCAGCTTATTTCGAAGATGGTTTGAGTTGAGGGAGGAGAAAAGCAGAGACGAGAGCGAACTGCACTGAACCAGGCAGAGCAGATGTTGATCCTAAGCCATCAGTAGTTTGACCTGAGAGGAGGAGGACAGTCCTCCATTTGTATTTCCCATCTGTGAGTCATAACCGATGACACTT